GATGGCGTCGATGTCGACGACGACGACGACGACGATGATCACGACGACGTCGACGAGGACTCATCGACGACGCGCTTCTTCTTGCTTCTTCTCGTCGTCTTCCTTTATTGTGTTTGCTAGTCCGCCTTGTATGTTGCCGAGCCTTATCGTCCTGCTTTTTTCTTCTCATCCTTTGTCCAGTTCTTTGAAAATGTCGACGGCCGTAGGGGCCCGAGTGACTCACACCAGGAGCTGAGTCGTTCAGGCTCCTCGTCCTTCTCCGCCGCTTCGTTATCGGAGTTCTGGTGGTGCGCGCACGAATGTCTTCACGTTTGTTGTATGATATCGCTCGCGCGAGCGTGATGCCATTCGTCATCTCGCCGACTCCGCTTCCCGACGTTCTTGGACGGCGTGGAAGGTTCTTCAGTTCGTTCCAAGACGGTTCAAGGGGATGACGACGTCGACGACGATGACGAACACGACGACGACGATGAGAGCTACGACGCCGTCGACGACGACTCATCGACGACACGCTTCTTCCTCCTCCTTGTCGTCCTTCTCCTTTCTTATGTTTGCTGATCCTCCTGGTACGTTTTCTTTCCTCTTCTTCCTGGTACTTCTTTTCCTCCCAGCGGGGTCCTGAAGGAATGCGGACCGAGATGGCGCGGTCTCGGGTTGCAGAGGCCCCCGAGAAGTTGGCCGGGGAAAACCAGAGGGTACGCAGCATCCTCGTGAGGCCCCAAAGGCTTGTAGGAAGGGCCACGATTTCACCAAGGCGCTCAGGAGAGGCCCAAGTCTACATTGCCGGCAGCGTTGTCGTCGCTGTTGCCATTCTGGTTCACAGTGATGACGTGTGGCTGTGAGCTTAGCTCGGCCAGCAGCAATCGCTGCTGCCTACGAGCAATCTCCCAGTGGCTGTGAGTTTTCTCCGTCCATCATTTTCGCTGTGAGCTTAGCTCCGCACGGACGCTCTGCCTTCCAACGCCGTAGCGCGGTGGGCATGGAGGCGCTGGCGCGAGCCATGTCTGGCGAGTGCGAGGGCCCTCCGTGGCGGCGCAGAACATGCAGCATGGACTTTGGAACGCGGAAGCGCAAGTATGACATCCACATGTCTGAGCGCTACCATGCTCGCCAAGTTCGCGAGCAGTCTGGCCTACGGGAGCGGAAGGGCAATATCTTGCGCCGGATGACAAACGTCACAGGCGTTAGCTTCGTCTCGTGGCTCAAGAGCACCATCAGGCGCAGCCAGCGGGCGATTCGGAACGGCGACAGGGTCGTCGACTTCATCCCGTTCGGCGCGTCGTGTCTCGTCACTCGTGATGTGCACGCAGTTATCTGTCAGCTGCGGCGCCCGAGGACGAATGGTTCAGCCCTTTTGGCTGCTGTCGGCGCTGCGTGCCTTCTCTGGACGGACGCATGGGCGCAGGCCGTGGGCGCTCCTCTCACGACCGCATCCTATCGCGGCGACCTGGTGAGGAGACTCTTGCAAACGCGCGCGGATGAGGTGCAGGTAGCGAACCCCGGCATTCGCGTTTGCCGCGGGCGGTCGCTTCTCACAGGCACCCAGGCGCGTGCTCGGCGCAAAGCTCGACGGCTTGCATCCTTAGTGCTTGGTGTTGCACGCCGAGCCCCAGGGGCGCACGCTCTACTTCAATAAGGCAACGCGTCGAGCGCCATGGATGCTTTGTGCGGGTCTGGCCTGCCAATCGGGGGATACACAGCTAAATTCATGCCTGTGCTGTCGTCGCAGCTGGAGCTGGCGCAGTGGACGTCAGTTGCGACCCGCGGCTTCGCTGGTTCCACGGGCTTGGCGGCACTTCGCCTGCTCGTGGGTCGAAGCGTGACCTTGGCTGGGGCTGAACACGGCGCTGTCGCTGCTGTCGCAGAGCATCCTTGCAGATTGGGCCGGACCGCCGCGGCTTTCCCCGTCCGAGATACTCGACCTGGAATCGCAGCTCTGTGCGTGGCACTCTGCGGACTGTGCATCTGCGAACAGCTGTCAGTACCGGGGCAGGCGTGGTGCACTTCAGCTGGCGCAGTAAAGTGTTTGTTTTCGTCGGCGGTGCGCGCGTTTTTCATTGCAGCGGCATGGCCGCAGTATGGTGGAACATAGCTACCCTCAGTAGTCGCAATCATCGCGCTTCCCTTTCTTCATTCACCCTTCCCTTCCTCGACATGGCACGTCAGATGCGCCTCCAGCGCGCAGCGGGCAGATGTCATGTCATGGGCGCAGCGCGCGCCCGCGCCTGAGGGAGGAGGGTGGGAAGGGATGGTCATGAGGGAGGGGGGGGAGGTGAGGTGTGGGAGTGCATGAGCTGCCATCAGCTGATGCATGGCGTTTTTGTAGACGCGTTCGCGTCTGGATGAGAAGGCGGAGGACTTTCAGATCCAGGCTATCGCTTTGGCGCTCTTGTCGCTCTCGATTGGCAGAGGCCCCGGGGAAGCCGCTGGAGGAAATCCAAAGGTCCGCAGCAGCCCCGTGATGCTCCAAGAGGCCCCCAAGAAGGGGCACGAAGTCACCAAGCCGCTCAGAACTGGCCGAAGTCCATATTTCCTGCAGCTTTGTCGTCGCCGTTGCCATTCTGGGTCGCAGTGTTGAAAAGTGGCTGTGAGTTGAACTCTGCCTACATGCAATCGCTTCCGCCTATGAGCAATCTTCCTGTGGTTATGCGTTCGCTCCGCCTAGTAGATGAGCAGCGAGCTGAGCTCGGCATTCGTGCAATGCGTCGCATTTGTGCTCCCTCCTCCTTGTCCTTCTCGTCCTCCTACCCCTCCCCCTCGCCCACCTCCTCCCCGTCATATTTTTCCTCCTCCTCCTCCTCCTCCTCCTGTCTCGGAGACCAGCTCATTGCCATGTTCACGGTGACCTACTGCGTGGCTCCACGTTGCTGACAGTGGGCGCGACATTACAGCGCCCAGGAACCCATTGTAGGTGGACGGTTGGGCAACGCGAAGGCATGTGACGATGCCGTCTGACCACAGTCTGTCTATGTATGGACTCTTGAGAGTTCCCAAGTACCTAGTCGGGGCTCGTCAGGATCTAGGGCCCGAGGGGGCAGCACTAATTGAAGCTCTCCTCTCATTTGAGTGATTTCCTCCAAGATGGCCCCAAGAAGCGCCCGGGAGGCACCAAGAGGCCCCGACATTGCCCCAAGATGGCCCTCGCGAGGCCCCAAAGGCTTGTAGGAAGGGCCACGATTTCACCAAGGCGCTCAGGAGAGGCCCAAGTCTACATTTCCTGCAGCGTTGTCGTCGCTGTTGCCATTCTGGTTCACAGCGATGAAGTGTGGCTGTGAGCTTAGCTCGGCCAGCAGCAATCGCTGGTGCCTACGAGCAATCTCCCAGTGGCCGTGAGTTCTCTCCGCCCATCATTTTCGCTGTGAGCTTAGCTCCGCACGGACGCTCTGCCTTCCAACGCCGCCAACTGCCTCCCTTCTGCCGAGAGTTCGCGTCAAGCTGGGGATGCCTGCACTCCCAGAAGTACCAGAGACCGCTCCGATGTATTTGGGCCAAACGGAGGACCAGGTGATTGGGCGCGTAAGCTACGTGATCGAGCTGCAGGAGACCAACCTGCAGAGGAGCCGCGAGGTGGCGACGGAGATGCTCAAGGCCCTCGAGTCGCATATCGACACCCTGAAGGCCTCCAAGCTGCAGCTCACGACGTGCTTGACCCGCAGCGCCATGGCCAAAGCGAATACGACTCAGGATATCTACATGGTAGCTGAGAACATTCGTACCATGGAGGACCAGATCCAAGGAATCACGGCAGGCCTGGGGAAGCTGATCGAGGCCCACGGGGCGTTGAAGTACCAGACGGAGCTCCCCCTCATCTGGCCATCGGCCAAAGAATATATAAAGCCGCAAGCCGACGAGACGGACAACATGAAGGATATCGAGTTCAAGCTGAGGGTTGCGCGTCGCGAGGAGATCGCTAAGGGTCAACACACAATGAGATCTTCGACGCAGTGGCAGTCTCCAGAGAGATCCGCGACGGGCGGCAGCCTCCAGAGGGAGGCATCCCTGCCTGGGACAAGAACAAGCCAGAGACGTGGCATGCCTACGGATGGAAAGACTATGAGGAGTGGCCCGCGGCTTCGACAGCGTAAACACTTCGCAGACTCAGATGCCCGAGATGCCAGACAAGCCAGAGGACACCTTCCCTCCTGCGGTGGGCTGCGCTAAGCGCAAGATGGAGATAGGCAAGAGGATGGAGATCATGAGGGGGGCAATGTCGGCAGCCGCATCGTCGGGAGAGCTACACTAAGCGCAAGATGGTGATAGACAAGAGGATGGAGCTCATCGTCGGTGAGAGAGAACCACGGAGGGTTCGCCATTGGGAATGCGCTCAAAGGCAACGACTACACGTACTGGCACATATGGTATGTGGTGGTGGTCAACCTGCACTCGCACTGAGAGTGCGTGTGTAGAGTGAGTATGTGTTGTGGCCTTCCCACTCCCTGCCCTAGAGAAGGGGCACGGCCCTGGGCATGTGCCCTGACTCTCGCTCGTGACTGCCAACGCCACCCTGCGTGTCATACAACATCATCCTACACGATCATCAACTACCTGACATTTACACGTCATCAAACAACGCATCGTCCAGCTTATAATTTACATGTCATCGTGCCTCACATCGAACAGCAGGTACATCACCCGTGACACCATACTACATCGTACCACTGACATTTTCATCATACTTACCATTCCACATCCTACATCATGTCACATCGTCACACATGTGGGAACGAGGGAAATGTGGGCGACGTAGATTTGCATGCCGTTGCGGATTTGAGTGATCCTCGTCGCAGATCTGGTTGTTGCACGTAGTGCGTTGCTAGTGGGTTTTGGCGCACGTACGGTTCGTGCACGCAAAGTTGGCGCACTGTTGCGAGCCGCGGGCTCGAGTCGAGCGCGCCTTTGAGATCATCGGTAGTGAGCGTAGCTCAGCCGTTGTTCACTCAGCTTTTCCGATTCTACCTCGTTTAGCGAGGTTGCCAATCCTCCAGCGCGGGGTTCGGGCCATGTCCACCCCGACCTTCCACGAGGCTGTGGAAGCGTCTTTCGACAACATCGCTGTGCAAGCGGACGGCGCGGCAGAGACAGCTATGCAGAAGCCTGGCGTTGAGGGCTTGCACGTGTTCCTGGAAGGGCGTCGCGCCGATGGCGCGAGTAGCGGCGTAAGTGCCGAAGCGGTTACAGTGGAGTCGCTGAAGAAGGTTTTCGAGGGCAGGTGCTGGCCTCTCGACATATCGTTTACGAGGGCTGATTTGACGACGCTGCTCGAATCGTTGGGCGATGCAGGTTCTGGCGGCGAGGAGTTGGCGGAGGACATTTCCACGTTGGTGGGCGATCTGCATTCTCGAGCGGCGGCGAAAGAATTCCCGCTCATTCGCCCGATAGAGTTGCGAGCGGACGACGAGCAGAATGCCGCCGAGGAAGCCATGAGTCTCGTCGAGAAGTTGGATGCTGTGCAGATTCAGAGCTACATTGATTATCATAAAGAGCAGTACTTCAAGAATAGTCCTGGTGATCCAGCGACGTCGATTGACGAGGGGCATGCTCAGTGGGCCCTCAATTTTTATTACAAGCACGTGCGTGATTTTCTTGCCAAGCAATCGCTTGATGCCAGGACATTTGCTCACCGGTTTGCCCAGTCAACGTTCGTCCCACTGATCTCCCCGCAGTCGATCGGCGACTGGGAGAAGAAGGTTTTCGCTCGAGATGCCGCGTCGGCCATGAGGCCTGAATTGTTGGAGTCGCTGGACAAGAATGTGTGGTCAGCTCGGGAGGAAATTGCTGAAGTCGTCGAACTCAGTGGGGCGGACGCTCATGATAGCTTCAGGGAGTTTGGAGGAGGACTATTTTCGCATTGTGCGCGAGACACGCGATGCGGGTGCGCGCCAGAACGCGGGGACTGGCTTGGGCGCGACCGTGGCGTTTCGGCCGATGGTGGACCCGGGGTTCGGAGTTTCTGCAGACGAAGCAGACGAGCGTAAAACGCTCCTTCTGAAGGCATCCGCGACTGATCACACTTTCGCCGTGCAGGGCGTCACGGAGCAATACAGCGAGCATATGCAATCGCGCACGGCCAAGCAGAGGAGAATGCTACCATTGGAGCCACCAGAAAAATTTGCGGCACCCCGGTACTACGCCTTGTTGCGGGAAAGCATATCTGAGGTTCGTCCTGAGGACTCTGCCCCCCGACACGCCGAGGAGAGCGCCGTGGCTCATGGATCGACGCAGCTGTCAGATGCGGCGTCGCCTTCTGGTTTGTCTGGCATTGATCTGGTTCTCTCAGGGCAGGCGTTTGGTCCAACTTCGTCGGCGCCCGAAGAGATTTCCTACAAATCTGCGCTGGCAATTCTCCAGTCTTCCGAGGAGGGTGGCAGGTGTCATTTTCAGGGCGTTTTGATAGTATGCGACGATAGTCCTCGCGATGTACATTACGCGGAGGGTTTTCCGCGGAAGCGCAAGGATCCGTCCTCGGAAGGGAAGGCGGCCGACGTGGTCATGGTGGACAAGACGGGGCCCATCAGCGCGTGCTTATGGGGTGACGTCGCTGAAGATATCTGCAGCATCTGGCGCGCTGCACAGGAGCGTCGCCATCGGGGCGAGGTTGCTCCGTGCGTCGTGGACCTGTCTAAGGTTCGCATCCAGGGGGCGGGGAAGAACAATTGGAACGGGGAGTTGCTCACGCGAATTCGTTCGTTGACGTCGATCGAAGCTGTTGGCGGGGAGATGGGCGCGACGGCGCAGGTTCTGTCTCGACCGACGTCGGACAATCTCATCAAGATGAGTTATGCGGTTCCACCTTCGGATTGTTGCGTTTCCGTGTTTCGATCTCTCCGCAACAAATTGAACCCTCCTTTTCGGTTGTCGGTGAGAGGTAAAGTCATGGATCTGCAGTCGTCAGAGATGTCGCAAGGGGGGAACGCGAAACGGATATTTGATATAGTGGACAACAGTGGCCTCTATTTCACTTGTTGCGCCATGAAGCACAATGCGGAGCCACAGGCGCTGCGGAATTTCCAGGACGTAGCGGTCTACTACGGGACAGGCCGCGCGGCCATTGGCAATTCCAAGGGCATGCTTTATCTTTTGAAGGATGCAATGATAATCCCCATCGGCCAGCCTGCTATGTTGGGCACTGCGAAAACCGAGCAGCTTACTGTTCAGTGAAATGCGCCGCGTCGGTGCAACTAATTGGATGTTGCGTCAGTGGGGTCCGTGGTTGCTGTATGCACGGCTTGGGCTTCGGTATGTATACAATGGTGGATATGCCTCTACTCATCTTTCGAGGCGCTTCGGGTGGGCTCCAGCACAGGAAACATCCCGCTGGTGGGACTTGTATTACAACCTGGCTGGAGCCCGTACTTGGGTTCTTCGGTGCTGGCTACTGTACTCTGTGATGGTGCTGGGTACCCTGGGAAGTGATGGTGCTGGTGACTCTACTCAGTGAAGGCTCATTCCTGGGATTACCTTGCGATACACCGCTCAAGCAGCAATGGGTGATACCGCTGCCCGTCGACCCAGACTCTATCCACACGTGTGATGGACCACCGATCGCCGAGATCTCTCGCTGCGCCGCTGCCTGAGCGCCTGAGCACTGCTGCCTGCTCTTCGACCTAGTCGACCAGCCTCGAAGGCCTGTGCGAAAACATATGTGTCCTCTTCACAGTCCTCCCCCTCCGCCTCTGCCTCGTTTGATTCGTTTGAGTCGTGTCCCTGGGATCTCGCTTTTCTTGGGCCCTGGTTCCTTTGCCAGTTCCTGTCAGCTTGCCGTCGGTGGTTCCCCCGAGGTCGCCTTTGCTGGTGCGTGCCTTTGTTCTGGTTCCTATCGGGTTCAGTAGTCGCGCAGGCTCCTGGGAATTCACTACTGCTGGTTCCTGGGAGTCGTGACAAGGGACGGAGGTTCACAAGGGAGTATGAGAGGGGGTAGGATCCAGAAGAACTTCGCCAAAAAGGGGTCCAAGACATTGCGATTCCCTGACGATTTTCCGTAGCCGTTGTGGCCCAACGCACGTAGGCACAAGATATTCTCGGCCATGCCCCAGGAATCTCTTTGTGGCTGTGAGTTAGCTCCGCCTACCATTTATGCAGTGAGCCTAGCTCGGCACGGACGCTATTCTTTCCATTCCGTGTAGGGCGAGAGGGCGTGGGGAGAGTGATTGAAGCTCGACGCTCCGTTTTTCCTCCGCGACGCATTCGGTCCCACTGCTGAAATATTCAAATGGGGGCTGTCTTCCGAGGAGGTGCTGGGCGATATAGAATGGTCACTTTGGGATTTGATCCAACCCTTTGCGAAGCAGTCGGGCCCCTTCGGTGCTCCGCTGCACGCGGGAGACAACGAAGGTCAGCACGTGTGGCACTGCCGTCTTCAATCACATTTCGACGCGGCTCTGTGCTGCGTGGAGGCATGTCGGGAAGAACTGGAAAAGTTCGAACTGCATAGGGAGCGCAAGACAGAGATAATGCAGGAGTTCGGTTCTCTATGCGTCGCAGATATGTGAGTCGTTCCGGCCCCTCGTGGTGTGAGTCGTTGGGGCCCCTCGTCCTTCCTGGTGTGAGTCCTTCGGGCTCCTCCTTGTGTGTGAGTCGTTCGGGCTCCTTGTGGTGTGAGTCGTTCGGGCCCCTCGTCCTGGTGTGAGTCGTTCGGGCCCCTCCTTGTGTGTGAGTCGTTTGGGCTCCTCGTGGTGTGAGTCGTTCGGGCCCCTCGTTCTGGTGTGAGTCGTTCGGGCGCCTTCTTGCGTGTGAGTCGTTCGGGCTCCTCGTGGTGTGAGTCGTTCGGGCCCCGTCGTTCTGGTGTGAGTCGTTCGGGCGCCTTCTTGCGTGTGAGTCGTTCGGGCTCCTCGTCCTGGTGTGGGTCGTTCGGGCCCCTCCCTGTGTGTGAGTCGTTCGTGCTCCTCGTGGTGTGAGTCGTTCGGGCTCCTCGTCCTGGTGTGAGTCGTTCGGGCGCCTCCTTGCGTGTGAGTCGTTCGGGCTCCTCGTGGTGTGAGTCGTTCGGGCCGCTCGTCCTGGTGTGAGTCGTTCGGGCCCCTCCCTGTGTGTGAGTCGTTCGGGCTCCTCGTGGTGTGAGTCGTTGGGGCCCCTCGTCCTGGTGCGAGTCGTTCGGGCGCCTCCTTGCGTGTGAGTCGTGAGAGCGTTGTACCAGCGCATCTTGAACGTCGCTGTAATGGCAAGATCTGGTGACCCCGCTAGTGAGCCCCATGCGTCTCCATGCAGACGAGGTCTGTGCGAGAATGAGCGTAGCTCTGCCCGCCGTCCACAAACAACAAGAGGCATCTTCCGTAACCACCATCCACAGGTGACCCCTTATGACATTTGATTCGCAACGTCTGGTAGCCGCGCTAGTGCGCCCCATTCGCCCCCATGCTCGCACTGTCTGTGGAGGCAATGAGCATAGCTCAGCCAGTCTTACATAACGCATAATAAACACTGTGCGTAATCTCCATCCACTGGTGAGCATGATGCCAACCGAGCTGCTGGCCCGAGCCCCCCCCCTTCACTGCCCTGGTTGGGTCCTGGTACCTGGGTAGGTTCCTGTTATCACGTCTTTGCTGGTTCCCCCCCATCTCGCCTTTGCTGGTGCTAGGCTTTTGTCGAGTTCCTATCGGGTTTAGTAGTCGTGCTGGCTCTGGGGATGTTACTAGTGTTGTTTCCTTGGAATCGAGACAAGGGGCTCGGGTCCACAAAGGAGTGTGACAAAGGCCAGGGTCCACAAGGGCTTTGACACCAGAGGGTCGAATGGGTTACGATTCCCTAGCGATTTTGCGTAGCCATTGTGGGCCAAACCAAGTTGGCTCAAGCCATTCTCGGCCATTGCCCAGCAATCTCCCTGTGGCTCTACTGTTAGCTCCGCCTACCATTTGTGCAGTGAGCTTAGCTCCGCACGGACGCTCTTCATCCTAACACCTGAGGGCGTGCGGCAGAGTTCACGCAAATGCCAGTCGTGGACTTACGTGAGGTTCACGCGCCCTTGCCTCGAGCGGTGCGAGAATTGCAGGGGATGCTGATGGAAACGATGCCTGCGGCTGGAGACGGCGCGTGCGCAATCCATTCTGTGTGGGGCGAGTGGGAGTGGGGTGAGCTGGTCAAGCGCGACGCTCGCTCGTTTCTCCGCGAAGCATTCGGTCCCACCGCTGACATCTTCAAATCGAGGCTGTCGTCCGAGGAGCTGCTGGGCGACATGGAAGGGGCACTCTGGGATTTGATCCAACCCTTTGCGAAGCAGTCGGGCCCCTTCGGTGCTCCGCTGCACGCGGGAGACAACGAAGGTCAGCACGTGTGGCACTGCCTTCTGGGATCCTATTTCGACGTTGCTCAGCGCGGCGTTGAGGCATGCCGGGAAGAACTGCAAAAGTTCGAATTGCACAGGGAGCGTAAAACAAGGATAATGCAAGAGTTTGGTTCTCTGCGTCGAAGATTTTCAGGATGTCTTCATAATGCCTTTGATGCGAGCCCTGGGGTTGTTGGATAAGTACGCGGCAGAAGCATCTGATGAGTTCTGTGGAGGACGCCGCCTGGGCAAGTACGAGGCGCTGTTCGCGGGAACCGCTGGTGCTCGAGAGTGGTACAGAAGTGTCGTTGAAGATGCATGCCTCCAGAACTCATTCGATTTGTTTTTCAGTAAGATCCACGACGTGGTTGACGGCCGATTTCGACGGCGGCGTCGACCTGGAACTTATAACGGCTTTCGCAGAGTCTGTGGACAAGGCCAGGGAGTGCAACTACCAATCTGCCGGGCTGCCCGCAAACTTCTTCAATGCCGTGTACCCCGCCTATCTGGAAGCCATGACTACGTGCGCAGATTATTATCTCAGCGACGTCGAACTGCTTGCGCTGGCGCGTTGCAAGAGGCAGAATGTAGTCATATTCGCGCACTGCTCTTCGAGGCACGAGTTGACATACGCGCGTTCGCACGTCGGAGACCCGAGCCTTCCGGTGGTCGCCACGTCCCTTCGAGATAACGGCGGGCAGGGTGCCGTCCGAACGCACTTCGAGCGGCTGCGAGTTTGCCCGCAGGAGCAGTTGCCTGGGCGGGGGAGAAGCCCGGGCGGCGATCGCTCCACTGAAGATGATGGGCACAGGGAGGCGAAGCGCCCGAAAACCTAGAGTGAAAGAGCCCCGGCACGTCCCCCTGCCGAAGAGAGAAGCCGCGGAGACGGGAACGATGGAGCGGCGGGGCAGGCGACGCGGCAGGAGGATGGGAGCGCCCTGGCAAAGCGCGCAAGGACAGACGAGGAAGTCGAACGAGAGAAGCTCGGGGAGAGTAACGAGTGCGCCCCGCTGCCGCCGCCGCCGCCTGGGGCGCGCGCTGGACGGCGCGCGACCGGCGGAAGGTCTGGATTGCATCTGAAGGAGGCTTTCGACATGCATAGTGGATGCGACGCCGGTTGCGACGACCACGTCAATGCGGCGGAGAGCCAGGGCGCAGCCTCGGCAATGCCGGCTGTCGCGGCGACTGAAGGAGGCCAGTGCGTCACGGACGTGCTCGATTTCTTGGGGTCCCAGTTCCCAGGCAATGCAGGAACGCCGGCTGCGGAGACAACTGACAGAGACAAAGGCATCGCTTCGGAGTCAAGCGAAGGCGACGGCGAGGAATCTGAAAGCGAAGGGGACGACGGCGTGGAGGAGCAATATTTTGCAGTTCGCGCCTTCGCGGAGCAGGTCCGTGGAGCGCCCGTGGAAATGGACGTGATTGATGGCCGCTGCCGAGAGCTCCGCAAACTCATGCGAGAACGGCCCACGCTGCCGCT